AACGTCCATCAAGGATGAGTGGATAAACCAAATGTGGTACATACATATAATGAAATCTTACTCAATGTTAAAAAGAAATGAAATTCTGGTATCTGCTACGACATGGATACACCTTGAAAACATTAAGCTAAGTGAAATCAGACGTACAGAAAAGGACAAATATCATATGATTCTATTTACATGATCTACCTAAAATAGTCAAATTCATGGAGACGGAAAAAAGAATAGGGCTGAGGGAAGGGAGAATGGAAAGTTCTTGTTTAAAGGATGAAGAGTTTCAGGATGGGCTGATGGAAGAAATTCTGGAGGTACCTGGTGGTGATGGTCACACAACACTGAATGTACTTTATGCCACTGAATTGTACAATTTTAAATGGTTAAATGGTAAATTTTATAAAATGTATATTTTACCACAAAACAAATTTAAGCTCCTCCTATATATAGATGTATAGATATATACAGAAAGATAAAAGTTTTATTTATTTATTTATTTATTTATTTATTTATTTTTGAGACGGAGTTTCGCTGTTGTTACCCAGGCTGGAGTGCAATGGCGCGATCTCGGCTCACCGCAACCTCCGCCTCCTGGGTTCAGGCAATTCTCCTGCCTCAGCCTCCTGAGTAGCTGGGATTACAGGCACGCGCCACCATGCCCAGCTATTTTTTTTGTATTTTTAGTAGAGACGAGGTTTCACCATGTTGACCAGGATGGTCTCGATCTTTCGACCTCGTGATCCACCCGCCTCAGCCTCCCAAAGTGCTGGGATTACAGGCTTGAGCCACCGGGCCCGGCCTAAAAATTTTAAAGTAAATAACCAAAGGAGACAATATTTCAAAATTGGTAATAGGTTGATAGATAAGAGCCTATATAAATTGGTTTTTAAAAAAAACACAAAAGCACTGAGTAGAAAAATTAGCAAGATATTGACAGTTCACAAATGAAAGAAAAGGCTAAAAACATGAAATAATCTTTCTCTTCACTGATATCAAATAAATGCACCTTAAAATACTACTCTTCACCAATGAATCTGGCAGAGTATTTTCCTTTTTTTGAGACAGAGTCTTGCTCTGTCACCCAGGCTGGAGTGCAGTGGTGCAATCTTACCTCGTTGCACCTCCACCTCCAGGGCTCAAGCAATCCTCCCACCTCAGCCTCCCAAGTAGCTGGGACTACAGAAATGCACCACCACACGAGGCTAAATTTTGTAGTTTTGGTAGAGACAGGGTTTCACCATGGGGCCCAGGCTCATCTTGAACTTCTGGCCTCAAGTGATCCTCGCATCTCAGCCTCCCAAAGTGCTGGGATTACAGGCATGAGCCACCATGCTGGGCCAGATTTTTCAAGTAATAACTACTCAGAGCTCACAAGGTTGTTTTTAGCGGGAACACAGTTTTGAACAAATCTTTGAGAAAGCATTAAGTACCCTTTGCATCTTTAATTCCACTTTTAGGAATCTCTCATAAGCCAAGATACTACCCCCCCCCCTGCAAATAATACAACATAATGTTTATTGTAGAGGCATTTATTACTGAGAAAAAATTCAGAGGAACACAGTCATTCAGAAATAAGGAAATGGCTAAAGAATTTATCTGACGTAATACTGTAAAAATATATTTTTAAAGGACTTTAATGACATGAGAAATGTTTCAGCTTACAACATGGGGCTAAGTAAAAAAGAACATGTAGCTGCATGTAGACTGGTCCCAATTCTATTCCAAAAGCTTGACTTGATTTCTGTCTGAGTGGTAGGTCATATTTTATTTTCTTCTTTATGCTTTTTTTGTATTTTCCAAGTTTTCTACAAAGAACATGAATTTCTTTAATAATTTTATAAATGATGTTTATACCTCTCAATCTAGTAATTCTACTCATAGAAAATCATTCTAAAGGAATAATAATTTTTAGAGAGATGAGGTTTCATTTACCATGTTGCCCAGGCTGGTCTGGAATACCTGGAATTAAGTGATCCACCCCCTTCAGCCTCTCAAAGTGCTGGGATTACAAGTGTGAGCCACCAAGCTCAGCTTCTTTTGTTTGTTTGTTTGTTTGTTTGTTTGTTTGTTTGTTTCAAGAGATGGAGTCTCACTCTGTAGCCTAGGCTGGAGGACAGTGGTATGATCATAGCTCACTGCAGCATACTCTCCTGGGCTCAAGCTATCCTCCTGCCTCAGCCTCCCATGTAGCTGGGACCATAGGAACATGCTACCATGCCTGGCTGATTTTTTTCACTTTTTGTAGAGACAAGATTTTACCGTGTTGCCCAGGCTGGTCTCAAACTCCTGAGCTCACTCAATCTGCCTGCCTTGGCTTCCCAAAGTGCTGAGATTATAGACATGAGCTACTGTGCCTGGCCTTGAGATAATTCTAAATACAGAAAAAGCTTTGTGCAGGGATTATTGAAAAATAATCTGGTGTTATTTATAGTGACAAAATATTGGAAAATTTGGGGAAGGTAAAGTAAATCCTGGCATATGCACTTGGTAAGCTACACAGCCGTTAAACTCAAGTTTAGGAAGAGTTTATAATAACATAATAAATGCATAGAATTAAATGAAAAAATCAGGACACAAAATTTTAAGTATGATCAAAAGTACATGTACCAGCCTGAGCAACATAGTGAGACCTCCATCTGTACCAAAAAAAAAAAATTTTTTTTTAATTAGCCAGGCATGGCTGCATGCCCCTATAGTCCCAGCTACTCAGGAGACTGAGGCAGGAGGATCGCATGAACCCAGGAGTTCAAAGCTACAGTGAGTTATGATCGTGCCACTGCATTTTAGCCTGGCGAACAGAATAACCCTGCCTTCAAAAAATGGTACTCAAAACTATGCTGAAAGTAAGAAAAAGACTCAAACAAAATATAGCAGAAGACTAACACAAGGTACCTTTTGGTGGTAAAACTTTGGTTTATTTACCTTCTGTTTATTATATATTTTTTCACATTCTCTGCAGTGAGCATATATGACTTTTAAGTAGAAAAATGTTTTAAACAAGCAAAACAGCTGACTTAGCCTGTGAATAGTGAAAATTGTTAGTAGTTGTTATTTTCTTTCTTATTCTCCATTTTCCAAATTTCCTACATGGCATTTATTGATTTTTATCATTTAAAAGTTTATATAATTTTATAAAAACGCAATGAGCAAGTAAAGATGATTTCCTCTTCCCACTCCTATGAGGACTGTTCTTTGACTGGAGCTCCAGCCACTATTTTCTAAGCTGCCTTTTGTGGCAGTCTTTGGGGCTACCCGATGCATTTACCAAGGAGAATTGCTCATTACCTCATCTCTGCAAGCCGGGCTGCTTTCCAATTGTTCCTTCTCTGTAATGCATTTGTAGTGCTTCTGATCTTTCAGAGTCAGGTGATGATTCTGGGACTAGCTTCCACCCACTTGGAGGCAGGTGCCTTGGGTCCAGGCAGTGCACACCTGTGGCATAGGGCAGGGCTGGGCAGTGAAGGTGCGCCCAACTCTCTGTCATCTACCTATCCCATACCACACGTGACCCATCCGTAGTACAAGCTGTCAAATTGAGGTCTTTGTCACAATGGGTTCTAAATAACACACTTGGATAGAAAAATTAATTTACGCAATTGTCTAGTGCTGCATTCGTTTCCCGGGGCTGCCATGATACATTACCACAATTTGAGTGGCTGAAAACAACAGAAATCTATTCTTTCCCAGTTCTGGAGGCCAGACGTCTGCCATCGAGGTTTCAGCAGGGCCACATTTCCTCTGAAGGCTCTAGGACTTGACTTCCATGACTCTCTCCCAGCTTCTTTGTGTGTGTGTGTATGTGAGTCAGAGTCTCTGTTGCCCCAGCTAGAGTGCAGTGACACTATCACGGCTCACTGCAACTTCTAAGGGTTCAAGTGATTCTCCTGCCTCAGCCTTCCAATAGCTGGGATTACAAGCTGGCACCACCATGCCTGGCTAATTTTTGTATTTTTAGTAGAGGCAGGGTTCTGCCATGTTGCCCAGGCTGGTCTTGAACTCCTGACCTCAAGTGATCTGCCCACCTCGGCCTCCCAAAGTGCTGGGATTACAGGCATGAGCCACCATGCCCGGCCTCTATCCCAGTTTCTGGTGGATGTGGGAAAACTTGGCATTCTTGTGCTGGCAGTGCATCATTCCAATCTCTGCCTCCAGCATCACATGGCATTCTCTGTGGGTGTCTCTGTGTCCCTGTAAGGGTCCAATCACTGGATTTGGAGTCTACCCTAATCTAGTATGGCCTCATCTTAACTAATTAATTACATCTGCAAAAATCCTATTTACAAATAAGACCACATTCACAGGTACCAAGAATTAGGACTTCAACCTATCTAGGGGGACACAATTCAACACACAACAACCACCATGCTGATAATAAAGTGGAAAGCAACAATATGGTTTAGACTTAAAGTTACACTCCAGAAAGTCTCATTCCCTGATCCCTACCACACCACCCACTGCACCAGTTTGGAGTAATAATAGCTGTTTACTGGCTAGGCGCGGTAGCTCACGCCTGTAATCCCAGCACTTTGGGAGGCTGAGGAGGGCGGATCACGAGGTCAAGAGATCGAGACCATCCTGGCCAACATGGTGAAATCCCATCTCTACTAAAAATGCAAAAAAAATTAGCTGGACATGGTGGCATGTGCCTGTAGTCCCAGCTACTCGGGAGGCTGAGGCAGGAGAATTGCTTGAACCCAGGAGGTGGAGGTTGCAGTGAGCCAAGATTGTACCACTGCACTCCAGCCTGGCAGCTGGTGATGGAGCGAGACTCTGTCTCAAAAATAAAAAAAAAATAGTTGTTTACCTAAAGTGCTCTTGAATGCCAAATTTACTATCTCAATGCACACTAACTGTTTCCTCAATTAGTGCCTCATGCATTAACTGTTAAGAGTATCATGGCCTTTGATGGTTATTGAAGCTCTCCTGAATGCCTGATGTGTTCTTGGGAGTAGTTCGTTCACATGTTGGGAGAATTGGCTCACCTGATCTGATTGATGCATTTGCAGTTCCAGGAGATGCCTACACCGATTATGTAGCTACAAGATGGTACCGAGCTCCTGAACTTCTTGTGGGAGATACTCAGTATGGTTCTTCAGTTGATATATGGGCTACTGGTTGCGTTTTTGCAGAGCTCCTGACAGGTCAGCCACTGTGGCCTGGAAAATCAGATGTGGACCAACTTTATCTGATAATCAGAACACTAGGTATGAATTGCATTTTATGGCAACAGAGTTGCTGAATTGTTATAGCATTCATATGTTATTGTAATTTAAAACAAACAAACAAACAAAAACAAGAGTTGTATTGCTTCTCCAAAGTGCCACTCAGGATGATTGTTCTGTGGTCTGGGTTTTAGCCAAAGCCCAATGCTTTTCTAAATATCTAGAACCATAACTCATCTCAGGGAGTTCTCAAATGCCCTTCCAAGAAAAGTCAATTAGCCATGGAATAAACTATACATTTACTTTACGTATCAGACTAAGATAGGGATAAGGATATGAGTCAGCTGCCTAGAGCTCAATCTAAGATATTTGATCAAATGCAATTTCTGTCCACTGTGAAAGAGGTTTCCCCACTTTACTCCAGAGCAGGAATCAGCAAATTGTTTCTATAAAAAGCCAGATGGTAAATATTTCAGGTTATGCAGGCTGAACAGTCTCCGTTGCAGTTCCCCAACTCTGCTACTGTAGTGCAAAAGCAGCCATACACAGCATGTCCACAAATGAGCATGGCTGTGTTCCAACAGAACTTTATTTATGGACACTGAAACTTTAATTTCTTATTGTTTTCATATGCAACAAAATATCAGAAAATCTTTTTTGACTTTTAAAAATTTGCTTAGAGGCCGGGCGCGGTGGCTCAAGCCTGTAATCCCAGCACTTTGGGAGGCCGAGGCGGGTGGATCACAAGGTCAAAAGATCGAGACCATCCTGGTCAACGTGGTGAAACCCCGTCTCTACTAAAAATACAAAAAATTAGCTGGGCATGGTGGTGCTTGCCTGTAATTCCAGCTACTCAGGAGGCTGAGGCAGGAGAATTGCCTGAACCCAGAAGGCGGAGGTTGCAGTGAGCCGAGATCGCGCCATTGCACTCCAGCCTGGGTAACGAGCGAAACTCCGTCTCAAAAAAAAAAAAAAAAAAAAAAAAAAAATCTGCTTAGGCTGGGCATGGTAGCTTACGCCTGTAATCCTAGCACTTTGGGAGGCCAAGGCAGGTGGATTACCTGAGATCGGGAGTTCGAGACCAGCCTGACCAACACGGAGAAACCCCATCTCTACTAAAAATACAAAAAATTAGCCAGACATAGTGACTCATGCCAGTAATCCCAGCTGCTCAGGAGTCTAAGGCAGGAGAATCGCTTGAACCCGGGAGGCAGAGGTTGCAGAGAGCTGAGATCACACCACTGCACTCCAGCCTGGGCAACAGGAGTGAAACTCTGTCTCAAAAAAAAAAAAAAAAATCTGCATAAAAATGTAAAACCAATTCTGAGATTACAAACTGTATAGAAACAGGGATTAGGCCAGATTTGGCAGGTCATAGTTTGGCAGACCTCTGCCCTAGAACTTAAGAGTCTGATTTTACTTCCTGATTAGGAGTGGCTGCTGGAGTTTAGAATAACGTTAACACATCTTCTTTGTAAAGTACATAATAATTTACAAATTACTTTCATATGCATCATCTTTTTCAGTCTTAAGAAAAACCTGTTAAGGAAGTTACAACATTTTTAATTGTGCCTGTGTTATAAATGAGGAAACAGAGGCTTAGGGAGCTTCTGTGATTGGCCTGACGTGATATAGCCAGTTAAGTGCAGAATAGGAATATGGGACTCAAAGGGTTTCTTTTGTGAGCTTTCGTTATGTGTGAGCATAACCCAAAAAGTGAGCCAAAGCTTCATGCCAACAGCATGGATGCAAAGAAAGTGATGCCTCTACACACAAGATAAGCATTTGTTAATTACCTCCCATAGGCTCTCCTGGCAGCATGGCTGCTGGACAGTTCCCTGTTCAGTTCCAACACATTCTGGAGAATTCTGCAGTATGAAAAATGTGGGGTAACGCCGGGCACGGTGGCTCACGCTTGTAATCCCAGCACTTTGGGAGGCTGAGGCGGGTGGATCACAAGGTCAGGAGATCGAGACCATCCTGGTCAACATGGTGAAACTCCGTCTCTACTAAAATACAAAAATTAGCCGGGCCTGGTGGTGCGTGCCTGTAATCCCAGCTACTCAGGAGGCTGAGGCAGGAGAATTGCTTGAACCTGGGAGCCGGAAGTTGCAGTGAGCAGAAATCGCGCCATTGCACTCCAGCCTGGGTAACAAGAGCGAAACTCAGTCTCAAAAAAAAAAAAAGAAAAATGTGGGGTAGAGTACCACTACAGGCCATACTTTGTCTGATTGATTCCCTAAAAAGATTCTGCAAATTTACATTACAGACCTGAGTTTAAATCCTGGGTCTGTCAGTTACTGTGTGATGTTGGACAAGTTATTAAATTTCTCTGAGCCTCATTTTTGTCATCGGTACAATGGGGATTTAAAACAGCAACGACTCCAGCCTGGGCAACATAGGCAGACCCCATACCTCCAAAAAAATTTTTAAAATTAGCTGGATGTGGTAGCACATGCCTGTAGCCCCAGCTACTTGGGAGGCTGAGGTGGAAGGATGACTTGAGCCTGGGAGATCGAGGCTGAAATGAGCCATGATTGTGCCACTGCACTCCAGCCTTGGCAACAGAGAGATACCCTATCTCAAAAAAATAAAATAAAATAAAATAACAACTATAGTTGGGAGATTATGAGATAAAGTCTCATAAAATCTAATTTATGAGATTAAATGAGATAATGTGTGCAAAGACCATAGTACCATTATCTCACCTTGTCTTTTGATGGAGGCTGAATGGTGACCAAACCACATATGACAAAGAGACTGGTTTGGGAGAACTGGCCTTACCTGAGAAGACATGCATCTGCAGGATCCCCTTCCTCCCATATCTGGAGGGAACAATCAGACACAATATTTCTTTCACACCCGCACTTCAGGCATTAACCTACCCCCACCCTTTTTTTTTTTTTTTTTTTTTTTTTTGAGATGGAGTCTTGCTCTGTCACCCAGGCTGGAGTGCAGTGGCATGATCTCAGCTCACAGCAACCTCTGCCTCCCAGGTTCAAGAAATTCTCCTGCCTCGGCCTCCTGAGTAGCTGGGATTAGGCACGTACCACTTCTCCTGGCTAATTTTTGTATTTTCAGTAGACATGGGGTTTCGCCACGTTGACAAGGCTCATCTTGAACTCCTGACATCAAGTGATCTGCCCGCCTTGGCCTCCCAAAGTACTGGGTTTACCACGCTTGAGCCACCACACCTGGCCCTCAGGAATTAACCATTTAAACACTTGGTTATTCTTTGCCAAATTTATGATGAATTATGTGGTTTACATTTTACAGGAAAATTAATCCCAAGACATCAATCAATCTTTAAAAGTAACCAGTTTTTCCATGGCATCAGCATACCTGAACCAGAAGACATGGTAAACTGCTCTATTTTGAATATTTTATTACTTGTGTTGCAGCTTTCTTACAAAGTTAGTTGTTTCTTATTTATTTTGAGATGATGTCTCACTCTGTCACCAAGGCTGGAGTGCAGTGTCAAGATCATGGCTCACTGCAGCCTCAACCTCTGAGGCTCAAGTGGTCCTCCCACCTCAGCTTCCCCAAGTGCTGGAATTACTCATATGAGCCACCATGCCCGGCCTGTTTCTTTTTTAATATTTGTTTTGGCTTGTTTTCCTTGTGACATACTGACACAGTGGATTAGTCTATTTTCATACTGCTGTAAAGAACTTCCCTAAAACTGGGTAATTTATAAAGGAAAGAGGTTTAATTGACTCCCAGTTCTGCATGGCTTGGGAGGCCTCAGGAAATTTACAATCATGGAGGAAGTGGAAGCAGGCACCTTCTCCACAAGGCAGCAGGAGAGAGAGGTGAGGGCACAAGGGAAAACTGCCACTTTTAAAACCATCAGATCTTGTGAGAACTCCCTTACAATCACTCACAAGAACAGCATGGAGGAACCCCCCTCATGATCCAATCACTCCCTCCCTGGACACATGGGGATTGTAATTTGAGATGAGATTTGGGTGGGGACACAGAGCCAAACTATATCACACATATTGAAGAAACTATATAAAAACTACATTACAATGAGCCAGGAAAAATGCTTTCAATGTTTAATTGTCTTATCTATTCAAAAATTAATGCTAAATTTAAAGTGAAGGTATATTTAGTATTTCAGATACTACATAGTTTTGATCCATTGGTCAAAGCCTTAGGATAATTTTCACTTAAATTATTACATTCTCATAAAGAGTACTTAGCCGGGCGCGGTGGCCGAAGCCTGTAATCCCAGCACTTTGGGAGTCCAAGGCGGGTGGATCACGAGGTCAAGAAATCGAGACCATCCTGGTCAACATGGTGAAACCCCATCTCTATTAAAAATACAAAAAGTTAGCTGGGCATGGTGGTGCGTGCCTGTAATCCCAGCTACTCAGGAGGCTGAGACAGGAGAATTGCCTGAACCCAGGAGGCGGAGGTTGCGGTGAGCTAAGATCGCGCCATTGCACTCCAGCCTGGGTAACAAGAGCGAAACTCCTTCTCAAAAAAAAAAAAAAAAAAGTACTTATAGTAGTCTTCTTTATTTTATTTATTTTATTTAATTTACTTATTTATTTATTTTTAGAGCAGGAGTGGACATTTATTTAAAAGGCTTTAGATATTTTTTTTTTAACAGATAGAGTCTCACTCTGTTGCCCAGGTTGGAGTGCTGGAGTGCAGTGGCATGATCTCAGCTCACTGTAACCTCTGCCTCCTGGGTTCAAGCAATTCACCTGCCTCAGCCTCCCACACAGCCGGGATTACAGGTGTGTACCACCACACCCAGCTATTTTTTGTATTTTTAGTAGAGACAGGGTTTCACCATGTTGGCCAGGCTGGTCTCGAACTGCTGACCTCAAATGATCTACCTGCCTTGGCCTCTCAAAGTGCTGGGATTACAGGTGTGAGCCACTGCACCTGGCCAGTCTTATTTTTTTTTTTTTTTAAGAAAAAATGCATTTAAATTTTTTTCAGCTTGTAAAACAAAGCTAAAATCAATCAAAAGCTTTTTTCTCAACATATATTTTCACATGGAAGGTTATTTAACAAAATGATCCCCATTGTACTCATTAAACACCAAATCACAGGGATCATCTCTCTACTCTTGCAATGGTTTTTGCCTTTATTTGAAAACATATCAATGACCACTTGACTCTCTCTCTTACTCTCTGTAGACACTGACTTCCTGTGTGTGTAACCTAAGTTCAGGCTATGCTCTTTAAAGCTCCATTTCATCCAGAATCTGCCTATACAAGAAAAAAACTATCAGGAAAATCACGTGTCTGCACTCCAGCTGTGCTGGAGTCAGAGCCATGTGGTGCTGCGGAAAAGTCTGAGAAGGCAGATCGTGATCTATGACAGGTGTGAACTGTCTAAATAACTTGAAATCCAAATAGTTCCAACCATCTCTAGATACCCTGTTCATTTTAAATCAATTACTTCATATAATATCTTGATTTATATGCTGGTTTCCTTTTTTATTGTATTTGTTAAAACCTTTAACAAATGTAATACAAGGTTCAAGGTTGAACTGCAAGGTTAAATGTTACAAAGGAATATTTATGTAACATGTGTTAAAGAATAAACTACAACAAACTTAAGTGTCTGCTGCCCAGTTAAAGAAGTAGATTCCCACCGTTATCTTTCAAGCATCTCCATCCCTTTCTTTCCTCATCATTCTGAATGTTGTGTTTTTTGTTCTTTTGATTTCTGTAGTGCTCTTATGCATGTAGTCCAGTGTATTTTCATGAATACTCAAAAACATCCTTAGAAGTAGATCAGGCACAGATATTATAGTACTGTTGTAGGATTTCAGATGGGCGCGTTCGGGACCCACATTTACCCAGCATCAGCTGCAAGACGTTGTGAAATTAAGAAAATAACTTCAGTTTTATGTATTTCAGATCTTTACACTATAATTCACAATTATATAAAAGCATGATTTTTAAAAAAATCTGAAATGAATTATTCAACCTACTAGAGAGTCTTTCTTTAAAGTTTTGTCATTACTAATATACTCAAAATATTGGTTAGGTGAGGTGGTTCACCCCTATAATCCCAGCACTTTGGGAGACTGAGGCAAGAGAATCACTTGAGGCCCAGAAGTTTGAGACCAGCTCATGTAACTTAGCAAGACCCCATCTCTACAAAAAATTAAAAAATTAGCTGGGTGTGATGACACCCACCTGTAGTCCTAGCTACTCAGGAGGCTGACGTGGAAAATCTCTTGAGCCCAGGTGTTCAAGGTTAGCATAAGCTATTATCATGCCACTGTACTTCACCCTAAGGGATAGAGGGAAACCCTGCCTCTAAATACACACACACACACACACAAACTTTGTTGTTATGTAATATTGAATGTTTTAACTTTGTTTTCTAGGAAACTCTTGAGGAAAAGTTTTCAGATGTTCATACTGTGGCTCTGAACTTCATGAAGGTACTTAAGAATCAATTCTAACTCTTATTACCTACAAATTGTAATGACTGAAGCTGGTAATTTGGAAAGGGGTGGACAGTGGGTTAAATGATGTCAACATAGGATGTAGTCATTAAAAATGATAAAGAAATCATTCCAGTTAAAGGAATATCAGTGGTTTAAGCAGTGATTGTTCTAACATATCCATTAACATTAGTAGACGAGACAAAATCAGAGCCATGCAGATACCAGACCTAACTCCTCTACTAGGCCCAGGAGAGATGGTCAAAAGGACAGATTCAAATAAACAGCAGAAGAAATTTACCTATGACTAGTCTGTCTTTTTTTTTTTTTTTTGAGACGGAGTTTCGCTCTTGTTACCCAGGCTGGAGTGCAATGGCACGATCTCGGCTCACCGCAACCTCCGCCTCCTGGGTTCAGGCAATTCTCCTGCCTCAGCCTCCTGAGTAGCTGGGATTACAGGCACACGCCACCATGCCCAGCTAATTTTTTTTGTATTTTTAGTAGAGACGGGGTTTCACCATGTTGACCAGGTTGGTCTCGATCTCTCGACCTTGTGATCCACCCGCCTTGGCCTCCCAAAGTGCTGGGATTACAGGCTTGAGCCACCATGCCCGGCGACTAGTCTGTCTTTCATGCTTGACCAAATGGGGCCGCACCAGAAGGTGTGTGACCCTGCCATCTATTGGGCATATTGAAAGCCCATTGGACAATGAGTATGAGGATACTGGAGGGGCATCTGTCTTTAATAATCAATTAAGTTCTGTCTACAGCAGTATCTTCCAAATGTAGCTACTCATAAGAATGGCCGGGGAGCTTTTGAAAAATATGGATTCCAATATCTAGCCTCATATTCAGAAGGAGAATTTTCATGAGTGGGACCTTGGCATGTGTATCTTTAAACATGCCCTTACATGATTATGATAAACTGCTCAGTTTGAGACTCATCTGATCTAGATGGTGGGGCCATTTGGATGACGTATAGTCAACTTTGTAGACCAGCCTTTGTGCAAGTGCTTGTCACTGTCATCTTGCTAACCAGAGTGCTGAATTGCTTCCCTGAGTCCTCAGGGACTTCAACGTGGGTCCTCCTGAGAGTCAGAACCCAGTACCCCTGTTCTCTCAGCCTCCCCATACCATTGCTTCGCCAGACCTCAGCTGCCATCTGCCCTATCTTACTGCCCAAACCTGCCTTCACCCAGCACTCAGCAGGTCCTATCTAGAAGTCCAATTCCCTGACCTTGTTCTTGACAAGTTGTTCTAACCCACCAGCAATTTAGCAAAACCTCCAAGAGAAGAGAGAGGCATTATGCGCTGCAAGCCCAACCAATTCTCAGATGGAAGCCAGAACCTGTGGTTCCCTGGAAAGCAACTCTGGGGTATGAAAACTGCAAGATGTACGACAAGTTCCCTGTCCTCACCTCCAAAGATGAAGAGCCCTTGTTGGCTGCCTAAGGTTTTAGATGAAGCTAGGTTTGTTACTCAACTATTTTATTTAGACCCATAAGTATCAACCTAAGACTCAAGAATCCTCTAAGTGCATCAAGGACTGTGCTGTTTCATGAGCCACACCCTATCTTGTGGAATCCTGCCCCATGTTAGATGAAAGAAGACTTTAATTCTTTGCAGTTGAGACATCTTTAACAGCAAATAAGTAACTGGCTACCATAACTGGTGTTCATCGCATGGGACGGAATCATAACCTACTCAGGTGAATGGCGTATTGGCCAATGGCAGAGCCAAGGAGAGTGGTGGCATGCAGTGGTCAATCTATGGCAGGTCTTTTGTGTGCTCTTCATAAGGTTTAAAATGAGACCATGAGCACAGTCTTTTTTATTTATTACTCATTTATTTCTATAGTCATGATTATCCTGCCACCGTATCAGCTTAATCTGGCCATCAAGAAGAAGACTACAGACTATTGGAAATTTTATTAGAGCATTTTCTGTGAAATTTGAAGTTTGGATTTAAAAAAAGAATCCTGACTTGGACTTTATAGTTCTGATTTCTCATCTCCTATCTTCAAGACATCTTCTGGTTAGGTGTTCTACAGAGAACACCTCTAATAATTCATCAGCTTCTTGATATACAGAAAGTTATTAATCCAGGCAAGCAAGGACTCAGAAGCCTCAGTTCTACTCAGCTCATCTCAGTGCTCCAGAATTAATCAAGCAGTACACTGTTCCAGCTCAGACTCCATGGAGAGCTCAGCATTAGCAGCATCTTCTAAGAATCTAAAAATGTTCTTTAAAATGAAAATTCATAGGTATTTAGTGATGGACTAGATTTCACTAGTTTTGAAAGCTCATATAAAAACATGAATGAGGCTGGGCATGGTGGCTCATGCCTATAATCTTAGCACTTTGGGAGTCTAAGGCGGGAGAATCGCTCAAGCCCAGGTGTTTGAGATCAGTCTGGACAAAAAAGTCAGACCCTGTCTCTATAAAACATAAAAAATAAATAAAAATTATCCAGACATGGTGGCACTTGCCTGTATTCCCAGCTACTTGGGAGGCTAAGGCAGGAGGATTGCTTTGAGCCCAGGAGTTGAAGGCTGCAGTGAGCCATGATTGTGCCACTGCACTGCAGCCTGGGCGACAGTGAAACCTCATCTCTGAAAAAAAGTAAACATTAATAAATTCAAGATATATTTGAAAGGAAAACCAAAAGGACTTAATTTTAACTGCTAACTGGAGAATAAAGTAGAAGAGTTGGCAAGGGTACAGTACCTGTATTGGTTTCTCAGGTCTTGGCAGGTCTGGGCTTTCTCTGAAAACTCTTGGCGAGGGTCTTTCCTTGCCAATTCCAGCTTCTGGTAGCCCCAGGCATTCCTTGACTTGTGGTAATGTAACTCCACTTTCCGCCTCTATCATAGCATGGCATTCTCTCTGTGTGTCTGTCTAACCATCTTCCCTTTTCATATAAGGAAACCATCTGTAATTGGATTAGGGGGTCTACCCTGCGCCATTATGACCTTATCTTCACTAATTACATCTGCAAAGACCTTATTTCCATACAAGGGAACATTTTGAGGTACTGGGAGTTAGAACTTCAATATATATGTTTTTGCGGTAACACAACTCAACCCTTAACCTTGAGACAGACGTTAAGTTAGCAGTTGCACCCGCAGGTCTGGAGTTAGTTCATAGGGGAGGTCTGGAATGGAATTGTAGATGTGGACATGTCTGGTTAACTTTGATAATTGAAGCCATAGGTAGCCAAGAGATCACCTAGAAGAGATGAGAAAAAAAAGGGGTGGCTAGGATTTGGCCTTGAGGAATGTATGTAACCATAGAGGAGAAGAAGGTAAACTAGCAAAGGCCAGTTTGAAAAGGAGTAGCCAGGAGGGAAGAGGAAGGAAAGTGAGAGATTAGAGAAGCCAAAGAGAAAGTTTTAAGAAGGAGGGCTTGCTCAGAAGTGTCTAATACTCTTGAGACAAGAGACAATTCAAAATACATAATGGGCTGAAGGATATGGAAGTAGAGGCCAGAAGTATTAATAACAAGAGGCCGGGTACAGTGGCTCATGCCTGTAATCCCAGCACTTTGGGAGGCCTGGGTGGGTGAATCACAAAGTCAGGAGTCCAACACCACCCTGGCCAAGATGGTGAAACCCCATCTCTACTAAAAACTGTAATGCCTGTAATCCCAGCTACTGTGGAGGCTGAGGTAGAAAATTGCTTGAACTCAGGGGGCAGAGGTTGCAGTGAGCCGAGATTGCACCATTGCACTATAACCTGGGCAACAGAGCGAGACTCTGTCTCAAAGGAAAAAAAAAAAAAAGCCACTTTAATGGAACAATGGAAGCAAAAGCCAGAATGGAGAGAGAAAGAAATAGAGACGATCACAGTTTGTATTCAAAATAGTTTTTCTGGCTGGGTGCAGTGGCTCACGCCTGCAATCCCAGCACTGGGAGGCCGAGGCAGGAACATCACTTGAGATAAGGACTTCGAGAACAGCCTGGCCAACATGGTGAAACCCATCTCTACTGAAAATACAAAAATATACTCGGCATGGTTGCACACGCCTGTAATTCCAGCTATTTGGAGGCTGAGGCATGAGAATCACTCAAACCCGGGAAGTGAAGTTTTCAGTGAGCCAAGGTTATGCCACTGCACTCCAGCCTGGGTTACAGAACAAGACTTTATCACAAAATAAATAAATAAATAAATAAAGTTTTTCTGTCCTGGTGATAGCCCTGACAGTATTAGAGTTTAAGGAGACTGCTTTTCCAGCAGCAGCTGGAGTTGATGTATGGCCTGGGTCATTAATTAGGGGTCATCAGCTTGGAGCAGGCAGGATTGTTTTCTTGAAGAACAGGACTAATCAGATCCCTCGCCAAGGGCCAGGTGATACTACTTAGGGGCAGGCAGCCTGGGGATCTCAGAGAACTGAGGTCAGTTGGGGTCAGGGAGGAACAGACACTACAGGGTAGTCCCAGCTGGGGCAGCCTCAGGCAACGCAATTGTCTGGGCTTGAGAATGCCTCAAATGTTTGTGATGGTGGTGACCCTTATTTCTCTCTTATGGATAGAAGGGAAGAATTGTCAGGTCGTCTGTGCCTGGGTGTTGTAAAGCTGCTGTTTTTAAAAATGAAAAGGGAGAGATGGGGTCTCGCTCTGTTGCCCAGACTGCTCTAAACCTCTGGCCTCCCAAAGTGCTGGGATTACAGGCATGAACCACCAGGTCTGGCTTAAAGCTGCTGTTTATGGATCATAATCTGTCTTTATTGACGGGCAAAGTCCTACTCTCTGGCTGGAGTATCAGTGTTTCTCAGAGAAAACCTCTGTATTAGGAGCCCCACTGAGCCCTCCGCTGTCATACTCCTCCCCAGTCTTAGAAGCAGACCTAGAGGCTTTTAATGGTCTCAAATATAGAAGGGTCATAATGTCACCGTTTCTGTTTTGCCTGAAGTTTTTTTTTTTTTAACACAGAGTCATGCTCTGTCACCCAGACTAGAGTGCAGTGGCACGATCTCGGCTCACTGCCACCCTGACGTCCCAGGTTCAAGCGATTCTCCTGCCTCAGCCTCCTGAGTAGCTGGGATTACAGGCACCTGCCACCGCACCCAGCTAATTTTTGTATTTTTAGTAGAGACAGGGTTTCACCATCTTGGCCCGGCTGGTCTCAAATACCTGACCTCGTGATCCACCCACCTTGGCTTCCCAACGTGCTGGGATTACGGGTGTGAGCCACCACGCCCTGCCTACCTGTAGTCATTCTTAAATGAGTATGTAGTCCCTTTCTCCTTGTTTTAGGTTCATTCTCAGTGACTGAGGTTCTCACTTCCTCAGCCATCTCCTTAACCCAGAGGTTCTCAAACCTGAGCATATGGGCATCAGAATCACCCAGAGGGCTTGTTAGACACAAACTGCCGGGCCCCACCTCCACTGCTTCAATTCCACCGGGCAGGTGGGGTGTAGGACCCAAGAATTTGCATTTCTAGCAAGTTCCTGCAAGGCTGATGTTTTTAATCCAGGGACTACACTCTGCAGACTGCTACAAATGATTTGCTTTCCATAGTGATTTTTAAACCCCATTGGTGGGAACACCAGATCTACAGGTGGCCTCTTTTGGAGAGACATTGTCCATTCATTCTGCCCTCAAAAGACTTGGAAGTGGCAAAAGAAGAGCAATCCTAGCTATTAGAAAGCTCCAACTACTTGATAATATGCAAACTTGAAGATTTTCTAAGCTAATATTTATCCTAACAAGTTATTATTCAGTTTGTGGGCGCTGTAACAAAATAAGCCCCTCCCTTAATATCTTCTTTGCTATTCTCTTCCTCCAAAGGGGTGTCTGAAGATGAATCCAGATGACAGATTAACCTGTTCCCAACTCCTAGAGAGCTCCTACTTCGAATCTTTTCACGAGGACCAAATGAAAAGAAAAGCGCGTAATGAGGGAAGAAACCGAAGACGCCAGCAGGTACTTCCACTCAAAAGTTAAAGTGCTAAAAAAAATAATTCCTTTTTTGTTTTCGTTTGTCTACCTTTCAAACTGAGACAAGGTGGACAGCAAGACCTTTCCTTTGTACTGGTGTAGTTATATTTGTCTAGCTTAACAAATATTGGTAATTGATGTAATAAAACCATACAACAATGAAAATATCAAGATGATTGCAAAATCTTATTCCAAACACACTTAAATCGAATCGTTACACAACTCTTTGGCTGCTCTGATTGGATATACCACCCATGAGATCGTATACTCATAACAGCTACATACAATGAAACACTGTTTATAACAGGACTGAGTTTTGCCAGCAATACAAAGGAATCCAAGTACCTTTCTGTAGCCTCCAGATGTGCAATAAAGGTAACCTGACTTCCATCGTTTCACCCACAGCAGGCACGTTAGTCTGCCTTTCCTAGGCTTTTTCTCAAAATCAAGCTCTGCCAGGCACAAACGAATAAAACCCAGACATCTGGGAACCAAATTCTATCCAGTGGGCCAATATTGGGAACAGTATGGTGACTGTTACGACAAACATTAATTCTGCAGTTTATCAGGTGACTGTCCTTCACTTGCTTTCAGAAAACTTTGAAGTTAAAACATAAACTCCACGGAAATGGGTTTCTTTTGGTTCAGGGCTTTTCCTCACCTGGTAAACCCAACACCTAAAACAATATCTGACATATAGAAGGTACTTAATATTGTTCAAATAAATAAGTAGATGAAAATTGCCTAATAATAAACCAAGTTGGTAATTTTCAATTTATCAGAGGCTAGCAATTTTCACATTTTGCGTTTGCTTAATCTTTCATCTTCAATCTAATTTTCAGTCATTTGTCTTCTCATTAGTATGTTTTCCATAAAGGAAGAAAGTATTGTTTTTTTCCAACCTCTTAAGAGTTAAAATAGAAGTTTGTTTGCAGAGAAAAATCAAACTCACCAAGAAGATGAAATGTTAAATCATTGCTGTGTATCCAAAATCTCTAGATATCCATATTTTGATGACATGAGCCATTTTATCTTTTACCGTTAAGGGTTTGCATATCAAGCCCAGTGCAGCTTATACTTAAATAACAAAAATAATAATAATAATTTAAATAAAGATTGCTGAGGCAACAATTTGAAAGAGTGCAAATTGTGTGTAAAAGGACATTGTCCTGTTAAAAACATCTCAGCCAGGAGCGGTGGCTCACGCCTATAATCCCAGCACTTTGGGAGGCCAAGGTGGGTGAATTAATTTAGGTCAGGAGTTCTAGACCAGCTTGGTCAACATGGCCAAACCCTGTCTCTTCTAAAAATACAAAAATTAGCCGGGTGTGATGGTAAGTGCCTGTAACCCAGCTACTTGGGAGACTGAGGCAGAAGAATCACTTGAACCCGGGAGGCAGAGTTTGCAGTGAGCCTGCAACCTCCAGCCTGGGCAAAAGAGCAAGACTTCGTCTCAATAAATAAATAAATAAATAAAATCTCACTGGATTTCCCCCTCACTGGCCTGGGAGGGTGCACAGTGTCAGCTGCCCCAGCCGGCCTCCTGATCCCCCTAATCACTGTCTACCTGGAGATCTGTCATGGAGCTCTCCTTGCCTCGAGGAGGTTGGGTGCTGCTCTCCCTTCACACCTCCCGCTCTCTGCTTGGGTTTACAGCTGTGTTACCCTTTCCTTCAATGCCTGTAACCCAGCTGATACACATCAGGGACTGTAAACAAGGCCTTCCAAAAGGCCCAGAGGCAACAAAAGGAAAGGAGCACAAAGGGCAGCATGCATCTAGAGAATCTCATTTACAGAGCTCAGGTCATGCTCTCCATGCTCTGTGAACTGCATCCTATCCACCTCTGCATGGTGGGCTCCACTGTAGCACCCACCATTAGGCCAGCTCTCTCCTTCAAGGGTGGTGCCCAGAGAGCCAGGCCAAAAGAAAGACAGGAGTGCTTTTCAAGTTCTGGTTTGCTTTCAGAAGACACACCTGAATCCTAGACATTTTACCATATCAGAAAATAAATGTTACAGAAAAAGTCTTTTCATTCATTGTGGTTTCCTTAAGACTAATGTTTAAAGTTGATAATAAAGAGGTTTTTGTTTGTTTTTCTTTGCTGTTCTGCCAATATCCTAGCTATTAAAAATTTGAGGCCAGATGGGTGGCCCATGCCTATAATCCCAGCATTTCGGGAGACTGAGGCAGGTGGATCACCTGAGGTCAGGAGTTCAAGACCCACCTGGCCAACATGGTGAAACTCTGCCTTTACCAAAATACAAAAATTAGCTGGATATGGTGGCCCACACCTGTATTCCCGGCTACTTGGGAGGCTGAGGCACAAGAATCACTTGAATCCGGGAGGCGGCAGTTGCCGTGAGCTGAGATTGCATCATGCACTCCAGCCTGGGCAACAGAATGAAACGGTGTCTCAAAAGAAAATGTGTTTTTTTGAGATGGATACAATGTGGTCTCCTGAAATTATTGCATGGTAGCTGATGGGCATCTACCTTTTAAACATTGACTAGATACTCAGATTAAGTGTACTGAAATAAATAATAGTATATCCACGGGAATCCTAGAATAAGTAATAGAACCTAATTTTCAGGTATCAGAGAATCACAATTTTTGGAAAGGTAACCCTACTTACTTTTTAAATTGATGTTTTTTGACGTCTTTGTACCGTAATTATCCACTTGTCTTATCATCTTTAAATCAAACTGTACGAATAGAAATTGTTTTGAATTTACTTTCTTATTTTTGTCTTCTTCTGCTATTAGAATCAACTGTTGCCTCTCATACCAGGAAGCCACATCTCCCCCACACCTGATGGAAGAAAACAAGTCCTCCAGTTAAAATTTGATCATCTTCCAAACATTTAGGAAAATGTTCTTTCAAGTGCAGAGTAATTTAATATGTACACATTTGGTAAAAGTGAGATAGGAATTCTTAGTGTTTCAAATGCAAATGAGCCATATGAAAATTAAGATGCCTTCTAGAATTGTTTTGCTCTGTTCATTGCTGATTCCTTTCCCCTTGCTTTTTACATGCCAATGTTATCTTTTAGAATATTTTCTTTAAATGTTATAAAGCCTAAAACTGCACATATGGAGGAGATATTTTCAATTTCATCAGAGCAGCCCCTCCTGAGTCTGTCTATATGGAGAATTTGTGAGATTATACTTTGATTTATGAAAAAGATTTACATGTGTCATCTTGCTTTAGCTGACCACATAATATCTTAAAGCAATATCCAATAGCCTGCCTCACTGTTTGTGTAAGAAATGACATATGTTCCTGCATTGTAATTCATACTTACTGTAACCAGGTCTATTGAGTAATGCTGGTATCTTATTCTTTGTTTTTATATTGGTTTGGAAAGAGAACCTTGAAAGGTCATTCAGCTTTATCTCTAGATTCCAGAGCAGGCTCTACTTTGTCTCATGAGGCATTGATGATTCTATTTTTAAAGGTAGCTAGAGAAAATTACGAATTCCAATACATAGCAAACAGTGAACCAATGACAAGGAATCGTCATCCTCATCAGTAACGCTCTCGGATAATTGGCTGACATCCTTTGTTATATCACCATTCCTTATTCTTTTCTCCTCCTGGCTAAATCATCTCAGGACCCAAACCAATCCTCCTGGGTGTGTTATCTAAATAGCTCATTGCCAGTACTCTCTTGCATACATTTGCATCCATAGCCTCTATGAAATTGTGCAGCCTAAAATTAGTGGGTGCATCATAATCAGGTTGGTTTGTAAACACGAGAGAAGGAAGATTATCTTTCAGTTAATATCACTTTATATCTCTTACGAAACAACAAAGCTAAGCAAACCCCTCAATAGCTGAGCTGAATTTACTATGGGATATTTTCCCAACTAAACTTGACATATGTATATACACATATATTTGTAAATATATACTTAAAATTATGAATTTTGCAGCACCATAGTAGGTGCCTTTTATCCTGGATATCAAAAATAACGCAGAATATTAGAAAGTACGTTTAGTTTGCTAACAAGGAACTCATATAAAATAACAGCATAGGGCTATCACTGCTAGGCAAAAAGGCACAATCAGTGATATTCTTATCAGGAAAAATTAAGAGTATTTTATTAACTCATTTCTGCTCCCGTGTCTGGCATACGTACCTGAATGTTGTCAAATTTTGCAAATACACATTATTCCAGAAATTTTCTGTGTCCGGCACTAAGAGTTAAGGATATATTATAATTGAAGAAACATTATAACATCTTACCTTTATTTCTGAAAGTCTTCTGCACTTAGAAACGTAATCTCCCAGAGAATCTCATTCAGTTATGTAGAAGCATCCATTTAATAAGGAATTATGACATCTAAACAATAGTTTCTTGTTCACAGGAAGGATTTTTTTTTTTTTTTTTTTTTTTTTGACAGGTTCTTGCTGTCACCCAGGCTGGAGTGCAGTGGCACAATCACAGTTCACTGCAACCTCCACCTCCTTAGCTCAAGCGATCCACCCACCTCAGCCTGTGGCTTGGACTATAGTGGAAGCCACCACACCTGACTAATTTTAAATTTTTTTTTTTTTTTTTAGAGACAAGGTCTTCTTATGTTGCCCAGGCTGATCTCTAACTCCTGAGCCCAAGTGATCCTCTCACCTCTCGGCCTCCCAAAGTGCTGGGATTACAGGCATGAGCCACCACGCCTAGCCAGGAAGGACTTTTTAAGTGAGCTGATCTGATCTGGCCATTTTACATTTTTAGTGTAAATATAAGCTGTTAAGGACTTCTTATTTTCATCCTGTTATCAAGAATGTGCCTTTTCAGATTTGTGTGTTTCTTGCCTTATTTTTTCTTTTCGAGACACTGTCTCACTCTGTCACCAAGGCTGGAATGGCACAATCATGACTCACTGCACCCTCGACCTCCCAGCTCAAACAATCCTCCTGCCTCAGCCTCTCAAGTAATTGGGACTACATGCCACCATGCCCAGCTAATTTTTTGTAGAGGAAAGGTCTTGCTACTTTTCCCAGGCTGATCTCAAACTCCTGGGCTCAAGCAATCTCCCTGTTTTGGCCTCCCAAGTCACCACATCCAGCCAGTTTCCTTCATTTTTAATAGGATGATACCACGGTTGCAAAAGAAATGAGAAATGAAAGATAAAAGGCAACTTTGCTGAACGATGTATTTTTAGCTTTCATAATGTTTTTCATTTAAGCCTTCTTGTTACCAAACCACTCATACTGCTCTAGCTCTCCTAAATATATATATATCTATATGTTATGTATCTGTATAGATAGTATATTTATGCATATACATATATATACACACATACAAGATATGATATACACATGCAGAAAACAAGACAGCATTCCATTGCCCATTTTGCTTGTAATTGTGTTTCAAATACCAATGAAGTTTTTGGCAGGGATGGTAGGGTGACTATTTTCCCTTATTTTTGCTTACATTAAAAAATTAATTCAGGCCGGGTACGGTGGCTCAAGCCTGTAATCCCAGCACTTTGGGAGGCTGAGGCGGGTGGATCACGAGGTCGAGAGATTGAGACCTTCCTGGTCAACATGGTGAAACCCCGTCTCTACTAAAAACACAAAAAATTAGCCGGGCATGGTGGCATGTGCCTGTAATCCCAGCTACTCAGGAGGCTGAGGCAGGAGAATTGCTTGAACCCAGGAGGCAGAGGTTGCGGTGAGCCAAGACTGTGCCATTGCACTCCAGCCTGGGTAATAAGAGCGAAACTCCATCTCAAAAAAAAAAAAAAAAATTAATTCAAACTAGCATTTCTCTTTTTCATTTTTTTTTTTCCTCCGACAAATCCATCACTTAGGTGTCACTGGGTAAGGGACAGGAGAGAGCATCTAATGCTTAGAAAAATGCTCTGATACAGTCATAGTACTGTGAAGAAAAATAAACAGACTGGGCACAGTGGCTTATGACTGTAATACTAGCACTTTGGGAGGCCGGGGCGGGCAGATCACTTTTTTCCTTCTAAATTAGGTGTCTCACTTGAGGTCAGGAGTTCTAGCTGAGCCAACATGGTGAAACCTTGTCTCTACTAAAAATACAAAAATTAGCCTGGCATGGTGGTGGGCTCCTGTAATCCCAGCTACTCTGGAGGCTGAGGCAGGTGAATTAACTTGAACCCTGGAGGTGGAGGTTGTAGTGAGCTGAGATTACACCACTACACTCCAGCCTGGGCAACAGAGTGAGACTGTCTCAAAAGAAAAGAAAAGAAAAATTAGCTTCTGGTGCTATAAGCCTGTTTAATTGTCCCTAGGTGCCCCAAGCCACATCATAGCATTGCTGCTGCCTGCGTTGCCCAGGATCCCAAGTCTCAAGCTGTAACTCCTTCCTGTTTCAAGTACATATCTCTCACCTCTGTACTGCACAGATTCTCCCACACCTGTCAGCCTGTGCACAACAGTTGCCCTTCAACATCTACTTCCCAAATCGTGTAATGTCTTTCATAAGGCTTATCTTTAGCAAAAAATCTTGTCCCAGACTCTTCACCGAAACCCACTTGATCCCGTAATCATGTGTTTCTGTCAGGTTCTTGTGCAGTTTCTGGATCACCTGGGTTCTGTCTCATTTATGCAAACTTTCCAGCCTTTTAACTTATTTATGTAGCTCCCAGCATTTTGGGAGGCTGAGGCGGGCGGATCATGAGGTCAAGAGATCGAAACCGTCCTGGCCAACATAGTGAAACCCAGTGTCTACTAAAAATACAAAAATTAGCTGGGTGTGGTGACACACACCTGTAGTCCCAGCTACACAGGAGGCTGAGGCAGGAGAATTGCTGGAAGCCAGGAGGCGGAGGTTGCAGCAAGCCGAGATTGCGCCATTGCACTCCAGCCTGGCGCCTGGAGAAAGAGCAAAACACTGTCTCAAATGAAAAAAAAAAAAAAAGAAAGAAAAAATTAACAACTTCATTCTTGTTTTAGTAGAAGACTAAAGGTCTTTAAGAGTAGTAATTAGGGCCAGGCATAATGGTGCATGCCTGTAATCTTAGCACTTTGGGAGGCCAAGGCAGGTGGATTACTTGAGCCCAAGAGTTTGAGACAAGCCTGGGCAACATGTCAAAACTGTGATCTCTCCCAAACAAACAAACAAAAAATACAAAAGTTATCGAGGAGTGGTGGCATGGGCCTGTATTCTCAGCTACTTGGGAAGGTGAAGGGGGAGGATTCCTTGAGCCCCTGAAGTCAGCCATGGTTGTGCCACTGCACTTCCACCTGGGTGACAGGTTTGCTTGAACCTGGGAGGTGGAGGTTGCAGTGAAGTGAGATCATGCCACTGCACTTCAGCCTGGGCAGCAGAGTGAGACTCTGTCTCTAAAAATAAAATAAAATTATAAGAGTGGTCATTAGAGAATATAAATAGATCATTTGGTCTGAAGTTTGGACAGCTAGGTTCTAGGCCTAAACTGCAACTCTCTGTGAATCCTTGGCATAGAATTCAACTTTTCTATGACTTCTGTAATTTTACTGTTTTCTCATTTGTAAAATAAGAGAGTAGTGAGGCTAGATAATTGCTAAGTCTCCCTTTCAACTCTAAACTTCTGTAATTCTTTATCGCACATAGTGTTTTTATCCTGTTTGTATGTCCCACTGCAGGAGGCTTTCTAGAGAGTATTTTTCATTACCAACACCAAGATAAAACATTTGTGTTTATGATCTAGCCAGGAGTTATCTTCCTCTCTCTCACCTCTCTTTTGCTTGCTTGCTTGCTTGCTTTCACACTCAACACAAACACACACACAACTACACCCTACTAGTTCCATCGGGTCAATAGTAGTTTACAGGCAACCATCTAACACAGGTGAAATTTTCTAAATGAAAGTGGGTTTTGAAGCTAAGTATCACTAGATTTTAATGAGTATAAATAAAATAGGCGTGTTTTTAAAATGTAGAGTAATATGTAATCATTCTTTGATGTTTTCATCCCCCTCTACTTAGCTTGGAAATGATGCATATATTGTGAAATACTAAAATATTCATCAAGGCAAAGAACATTTAATCAAGTTTTAACTTCAGGAACACTTTTAGTAGTTTTGGTAAATGATAATTAAATTTTACAGATATATCTGAATTGTATACATTTTATATTTCAAAAGCAAGGACTCAGGATCTCTTTTTTTTTTTTTTTTTTTTTTGAGATGGACTTTCAATGGCATGATCTTGGCTCACTACAACCTCTGCCTCCCGGGTTCAAGTGATTCTCCTGCCTCAGCCTCCTAAGTAGCTGAGATTACAGACGTAAGCCACCATGCCTAGCTAATTTTGTATTTTTAATAGAGATGGGATTTCACCATGTTGACCAGGCTGGTCTCGAACTCCTGACCTTGTGGGTGGTCCACCTGCCTCAGCCTCCCAAAGTGCTGTGATTACCCACATGAGCCACTCTACCCGACCTGGCTCAGTCAACTTTTAATTTACCCCATAATTTGCTCAAGCTGAGAATTTTGGTATTCCTACCCAACAGGTGTATAGATGATTTGTATTTTTAAAGTTAAAATTTTTCTTTCTATTATGAACACTACTGATTGACCACGTGTCTAAATATTGTCATATTGAAGATTCTGTGTGTCCACTTATGATTTTAGAACATATTTGTGTAGAAGCAGGTATATTTCAAATCACTTGAAATTGTAGCTATATGTTAATTAACATTGAAAATTAGCCAAATCGTAATTTAAACTACTAGAAACAATTCACTAAAAGCAATTTTAGTTTTATTATGTTAAATATATTATGGTTTTTAAAAATTAGCTTAAGATACTTTGAAAACCTACATATGGGATTAAATATTTTGGCGACTTTATATTTGTATATATAACAATATAAATGAATTTTTGATGAATATT